TGGACTTTTTGTATTGCGTGTGCTTGTTTAGTTTGGGGGTAATATGCACCCCTTGCTCATTTACACAGAGGGGGTGAACATATGGGGGATCCTTATTCTAAAGAGGGCTTCCAGAATCGGAGAATTCCCCCAGCAGACCGCCACATTCAAACGAATCTGCCAGGGATGTGGGGAAGAGGCCCTTGTCCCAAATGATATGGGGAAAAAGTGCTTTGCCAAAGCCCCCCTTCCCCAGATTGAGAATGTGTGGCCTAGTATGGTTTGGGGGAGTTACATGCTCTCTGCCTCTCCTTTTCTTAGTCAGCCATGCTGAATGTTTTGATACAGGTCTGGTATGAATTTGGGGGAGACCCACACCATTTTTTAAATACATGGGTTCCCATTAAAATCAACACCAGACCCTCATAGATCATAAAGATCTGGTATGGATCTTGGGAAGGAATGGCGTTCAGCCTGGGTTCATGCATTTAGCCTGAGTGTCCAGGAAGACACCGAAGCACCACGTGGTAGCCATTTCTCACTCCTGAACTTAGGCTTTATGCCCCTTAACATGGGGTGGGTTCCTTGCAGGGGGAAACTTGGCAAAGATCCCTGTGCACACATTGAATGGGACAAGGGTCTCTTCTCTACATCCCTGGCCTGGTGGTGTCGGAGTCTGTGAGGGGACATATTGGAATCTGGGAGCCCCTTTTAGAATAAGGGGAGCCAAATATCTGCCCCTCATGTGAACAAGTAAGGGGTGCAAAAAGATGCATAGTAAATACACACACACTATATATACATAAATGAGTACACCTCAACAGATTTGTCAGAAAACCTTTCCTTTCCTTTCAGAATCAACATTTAACATTTTCTATGGGATACTATACTACAAAATACTCACACAAATGCAAGCCATTGATTGCACACATGTTTGGTTAATTTGCACACACAAAAAAGTAATTTTCCTAACAAATTAATTCAAGACCATGTTGCAAAAATGAATATGCCCATGTGAAAGTCTTAGGAGCAAAGCTAAACTGTAAACAACTGTCAGGGCTCCGAGTATGACCAGAGGTGTGTGGACTGACACAGGGAAACGCAGGCTTCAGATATAGTATAAACAATATAATTTATTTAAGATTAAACAATACATAAACGCAGTGCAAGACTAAACATAAACACAGTGCAAACAAACCAAACCAAAACCCCCAACAGATAACAAAAGAACAATACTAAATGTAGTCGGGCAGGCTGGGTCGGTAGCAAACGGGCAGGCAAGGTACAAAGGAGCAGGCAGAGCGTAGTCAGACGGACCGGGTCAGGAACAATCAGGCAGTAAAGGTACCAAAGGAGCAGACTGGAGAGTGGTCAGGAATAGCAGAGGTCAGGACAGGCGGAGTTCAATCAGAGTCAGGGATCAAGCAGGATCAGACAGGAAGCAGACAGGATGCAGGTACAGGGGCTCTTGGGAAACATACACCAAGGCCCTGATTGCAAGTCTGGCCATTCCTTATATGCACCTCCTGCAATCAGCCTCAGGTGTTTTGGCTGACTGCAGGAGTGAGCCTCTGGTTGTTGAGAGCACCCGCTGGCCAGTCCCGGTACTGCAACCCACAAGGCAGGTGAGTCCCACCACTATTGGCGAGCCCATTCCTGACAACAACAAAATCTTAATTAACAAGAATTCAACTACAGGTGAGTCTAATTATTCATTAAACAGGTGTCCAACAGACCATTGATTATAAAAGGGCATTACTTAACAAAGAAAACCCCTTCCCATTTCATGCTGTCAGTAATGGCACCACATGGAAGAGAAATGTCACAAGGCCTAAGAAAGAAAATTATTTCTTTACACAAGAATGGTGAAGGCTACAAGAAGATCAGCAAATCTTTAGTTATCATTCAGAATACTGTAGCAAAAGTGATATAAAAATTTAACAAGGATTGCACTGCAACCATCTCATGGAGACGTCCAGCCCATCCACGGAAGTTAACACCTCGAGAGGAGCATCTTCTGGTGAGAAGGGTTGAAGAAAATTGCCATGCAAGTTCACTGCAGTTAGACTAAGAAGTAGAAATCCAAACTGGGGTGATTATTTCCCATGACACAATACAGCGTAAACTGCAGAGGAAAGGCATGCATGAGTGTCGTCAATGAAGAAAACATATCCTAAAGCCCATGCACAAAAAAGCCCACCTAGAATTTGCCAGGTCCTATGCTGAAAAATAAGAAGACTCCTGGGACCATGTACTCTGGAGTGATGAGACCAAGATAAATGTTTTTGAACCTGATGGCTTCAAAACTGTATGGCAGTACAGTACAAAGAAAAATGCATGGTGTCTACAGTGAAACATGGTGGTGGCAGTGTCCTTCTGTGGGGCTGCATGAGTGCTGCTTGTGTGGGGGAGCTGCATTTAACAAAAAAAATATGCTCCCCATCTGGGGTCAGAACAAGAAAGTGCCCATAGTGTAGTATGGTTGAAAGAAATTAAACATTTATTTTAATTCGCAGGATGCATCCACAATGTATCAAAATCAGAACGGCAGATAGCAAAAGTACACTGACCGTCCCTGAAATGAGATGGCCGCCGGAGCTCCACGATGCTCCGACGGCGTGACGTCAACAGCACGAGCAGGCTCCTCCTTACGCGTTACGTGCCACGCACATCATCAGAGGATTGAGAAGGCTCTATGGGCACTATGGGCACTTTCTTGTTCTGACCCCGGATGGGGAGCATATTTTTTTCAGAAGCAGTACTGCTCCGAATATAACCAGAGAGGGAGGTTCCTACTACTATTATAGAGCAACACCCACACATCCCTTAAGGGGAACTCTGTGCCGGAGCCTAATTTTCTATGATCCTGCGCTTGCTTGACCATAAGAGGGATATCTATCCATGTGCTGATCCAGAGGCTTTTCTTCAGGGAAACCAGGAATCAATTCTAACTTTCTGCAACACACCAAGTGTGGTTCTGGTGAGTGGGCACTTCTTCTATTCCGATTGTGAGGAACATTTACTGATCAGGAACAAGGACTATCATTTTAAGCGCTGCACTATTTCTATGACAATGGATTTGCCCAACTAGTGTGGGATTATTTCACTCTCTTATTCCTCAGTGCTTTCCATATCTTCTCCTTCCTCCCAACAAGAGTCTCTTGCTGCATCTGCTTCAGAATATGCCAAATCATGTGGTGAAGAGGGCCTTAATGAAGCACAGTTAATAAGATCAAGTAAAGGTTTGAACCTTAAAAGCCAGCACTTCCTATAAGATCTTTATTCAGCTAAAGTTAAAGGGTGCTTTTAAATGATACATTCTCTTTTTGTAACATGTTACATGGTACACCCATATTCAGGGTGTAACGTGTAACACGTTACTGTTGCATTAGCTTCCTCAACCCCCTCCCCCGATCCCCCGTTGTGACAGCAAGCCGGGGATCCTCTCTCCCCACCCACTGTCACAATTTTAAAAAAACGCAGCTGTGTGGGGCTTCTGCTGATCATGGGTGCATTGTTTTGCAGACTCCTAATAAAAAAAAAATAAATGCAAATTATTTTTACCTTCAAAAAGATGTGCATTTATTATTTTTTAATAAGGAGAATAAGGATAAGGAGAACTTATCCTATACAACTTCAGAAAAGCTCAAATGTTTGATGAAGCAGATATTCTACAGACTAGTATTTACAAGCAATTAAGATTAAACAATGCATGTAAATTAAGGACAAGTTTATCTGAAAACTCCCAAAACTCTCCTGTACCTAACCCAGAACCCTGTTATACATGTTTCATGGTTTGTATTTGGTGGCATTGAGAGAGGCCACGTGACCATCTCCTGTGGCTATATTACAAGATCAGTAAATGGGAGAGAGCCAAGAGCAGTGGAAAGGCATGCATTACAGGATTTTTGTCTGTAGTTTAGGTTACAGAGCAGCAGAAAATAGGCATGCAGGAGAGCTAACAGTCACAGGTAAAAGATAAATGAATAATGAACTTCACCATGAAGGAGCTCAACTATGAGGAAAGATTAGAGGAAATTAATTTATTCTCTCTTGAGAAGAGGAGATTAAGGGGGGATATGATCAACATGTATAAATACATCAGTGGTTCATATAGTGAACTTGGCGTCAGGGGCGGACTGACAACTCATGGGGCCCCCGGACAATAGGGGATCGTGGCGCTCCTGTGTCCTTGCCCAAACTAAAAAAAGCCTATGAAAAAGGTACCAGGGGCATCTCATGGGGCCCCCTACTGATTCCGGGCCCTCGGGCAGTGCCCGAGTTTCCAAATGGTCAGTCCGCCCCTGCTCGGTGTAGAGCTATTCACTTTAGGGTCATCACAGAGGACAAGAGAGCGCTCTTTACGTCTGGAGGAAAAGAAATTTAATCTCCAGACACAGAAAGGTTTCTTCACAGTGAGAGCTGTGAAAATGTGGAATAGACTCCGTCAAGTCTCAGTGGATTGCTTTAACCACTAGCCTACAGGGCACTTATACCGCCTTCCTGCCCAGGCCAATTTCCAGCTTTCAGTGCTTTCACACTTTGAATGACAATTGCGCGGTCATGCAACACTGTACCCATATGACATTTTTATAATTTTTTTGTGACAGATAGAGATTTATTTTGGTGGTATTTAATCACCTCTAAGTTTTTTATTTTTTTTAAACAAACCAAAAACCACTGAAAATTTTGAAAAAAAAACCCACGTTTTTTCTTAGTTTTTGTTATAAAATTTTGTAAATAAGTGATTTTTCTCTCCTCACTGATGTGCGCTAATGAGGCTGTAGTGATGGGCACTGATAGACTGCACTGATGGACACTGATAGGTGTCACTGATGGGCACTGATGAGGTGGCACTGGTAGGTGGCACTGATGGGCATTGACAGGCATCACTGATGGTCACTGAAAGGCAGCACTCATATATGGCACTGATAGGTGGCACTGATAGGGGGCACAGATAGGCGGTACTGACTGGCACTGATAGGCGGCACTGATTGGCACTGCTAGGTGTCACTGACTGGCACTGTTAGGTGGCACTGATAGGCAGCACTGATGGGCACTGATAGGCGGCACTGATGCACACTAATAGGCGGCACTGACTGGCACTGATAGGCGGCACTGACTGGCACTGATAGGTGGCACTGGTTGGCAGCACTGATAGGTGGCACTGACTGGCATTGATAGGTGGCACTGACTGGCACTGATAGGCGACACTGAAAGGCAGCTCAGATGGGCACTGATATGCGGCATTGATGTGCACTGGGGGGGTAGGCACTGAAATATGGCACTGACGTGGCACTGATGGGCACTGGTAGGTGGCATGGATGAGCACTGACACATGGCACTGATGGACACTAACAGGTGGCACAGCTGGGCCACACTGATCATCAGGGCAATCTGATCATCAGTGCTCTCAGCGTGACAGCTTCTGAGGAGAGAAATGCCGATAACCATCATTTCCCTGTTTACATGTGATCAGCTGTGATTGAACACAGCTGATCACATGACTGAGCCGACATCTTCGGCTCTTTCCGTGGATCGGTGATCCGCTGTGTCCGAGTGACACAGCGCACCACCGATCGTCGTGATGCACGCTCCCAGAGCCGAGCATGCGCGGTGAGAATGGGAGGACGTCATATGACGTCCTCCCAGAACGAGAGAACTGCCTTGAGTCCATCATTTTACTATATGGCGGGTGGGAGGCAGTTAAAAAAGGCCTGGATTCTTTCTTAGATACACAGAATATAACTGGATACTATAATATATAGGTAAAGTTGATCCAGGGAATATCCGATTGCCTCTCGGGAGATCAGGAAGGAATTTGTTTCCCTGCAGGAGCAAATTGGATCATGCTTTGCTGTTTTTTTTTTGCCTTCCTCTGGATCAACTGTGGGTATAGGATTATAACTTTTTTTTTTTTTTTTTAATGGTTGAACTGGATGCACTTTTGTCTTTTTTCAGCCAGACTAACTATGTAACTATGTAGCCTCCAAGATTTTGCTTCCTGCAGCCTATCCATGCTAGCTTTATAAATATGTTTAGTTCTTTTTAGTATCAGCTGTGGTTTGAACAGTCCTGCATGCCCAACACAGTGTTTTGTTTCTCCTTCCTTCTTATACATTATTTCCAAATCTGCTGCAGAGGAGCACCAGGGAAAAAAATCACAAAAGAAAAACAGGAGGTACAGTTAGCAATTTTTGTGATAAAAATATAAATAGCATACCTATTTGTAGATTTAATTAACTAACCTTGGGGGACGAAAACCTTACTGTGGACCAGGAACAATTCTTACTGGAACCTGACCCTGTTTACTTGTCATCAAATACTTCACATAAAGGTTCTCCTTCTACTGAGAATGTGCAAGTATGCACAGCATGCTTGCACATTATGGCACACTTACTATATAAAGTGCCCCCCACCTCCCCAGCCCTGCAATGTCCGCTCTCTACTTCATCGCTCCAGAGCTTTCATCTTCTTTCCCGTCTTCTTCCAAGTTCAGCAGTCTTTGGCCATCTTGATTGACTGGTTTGGGAAAAAGTAACTCCTACTCATGTGCATGGCTGTTAATTCATCCCAGCACTCTGCATTTACCCCTGACATCTGTAGGATAGTGTGGCTGCTATTGTACAAATCTTTTAAAAAAAAACTGTTGGAATGCATTGGAAAGGATTACGGTATATAGCAGAAGAGACATATAGGGTTTAATTTACTAAAACTGGAGAGTGCAAAATCTGGTGCAGCTGTGCATGGTAGCCAATCAGCCAATCAGGTTTAGTTCTGCTTTAGGAGACAGTGTTAGCTAAATTTCACAATGGAGAGAGTTACCTAAATCTAAACTCCAGAAAAACAGTTTTAGATGAAATACATATTATCAAAACAGTTTACCTCCCAAAGGATTTGTATATCTGTCAATCCAATCCTGAGATTTCCACTGATTCCAGGCATTGTTTTGGCTGACAGGGGAGGAAACTTGATTGCAGTTTTGTAACAGTTACAGATATTTTTCCCCCTTTCCCCCATAATTGGACAGAGAAATGAGATGCACTTCCCTCCTATCAGCATGCTCTATGTTAGAACATGGGCACTGCAGCACATCTGACTGGCTATTTGTGCTGCTTCTCCCTCTCCCAAGCTGGGCTCTAGTGTACAGGAATCAATATCAGGTCAAATTGAGGTGAATGCACTTTCAGTCTAAAAAGTGCATTTGTTATGTATTAAATGGACACAAAACTACAATAATTTGTGCTTTTACATCTGGAGTGCAGGTTTAAAGGATACATTCACATTTTGTAACATGTTACACCCATATTCAGGGTGCAACATATACCATGTTACAATTGCACAGGCCCTGACACCCCCAATACGATATTGACTCCGCCCACCCAGCTGTGTCATTCATTTAGAGTTCTGTGAATTTGAAAATTACAAGTCCCCACAGCATTTGCAGCTGCCGGCTTGAAACTCTCAATGAACTACCACACCGTTGTTGACCGCTTTGGTAGTTCATTCTCTTTTCCTGTCAGTGTGTATCTGCCTGCCTGTACGAAGTATGAGAAGATCTGAAAAAAGATGTTTATTTATTTATTTTTTTTTTTAAAAAAAGGTGAATTTACCATTTAATGCCAAGACAGTTAATCTCTACAGTTAACAATTTAACCAGTTCCCAACCGCGCTATAATTGAAGGATGGCTACAGCATGGTTGTGTAATCCTGGGACAACTTCCATGGACGTCATTCCAGAACACGCCCCCCTATGGACACAGCTGATCACGTGATATGGTAAATGGCCAATCATCTTTTACCACGTGATCAGCTGTGTCCAATGATACAGCAGATCACCGGTTAAATACAGTTGCCGGTTATCGGCTGCACTTTCCTCATGCTGTCACAGCATGAGAAAAGTACTTACAAGAACCGGCAATTGTCAGCGAAGGGATTGGCACTGATCATGAGGGCACTGATGATCAGTGCCCTCATGATCAGTGCCACCCACCTGTGCTCAGCAGTGCCACCCACCTGTGCCCAGCAGTGCCACCTAGCAGTGCCATCCACCTGTGCCCTGCAGAGCCACCCACCTGTGTCACCCACCTGTGCCCTGCTGTACCACCCACCTGTGCCCTGCAGTGCCACCCACCTGTACCCATCAGTTCCACCTATCAGTGCTGCCCATCAGTGCCGCCCATCAGTCCTGCCCATCAGTCCTGCCCATTAGTGCAGCATCATCAGTGCTGCCCATCAGTACTGCCTATCAGTGCAGCATCATCAGTGCCGCTTATCAATTCCGCCTATCAGTGCCTCCTATCAGTGTCCATCAGTGCTGCCTATCCGTACTACTTCATCAGTGCCCATCAGTGCTGCCTATCAGTGCCCATCAGTGCTGCCTATCAGTACAGTGTCATCAACGCACAGCAGTGATGGAGAAAAATTACCTGTTTGCAAAATTTTATAACAAAAACAAAGAAAAACTTTGTTTTCAAATTTTTTGCTCTTTTTTTGTTTATAGCGCAAAAAATAAAACACCCAGTGGCAAGCAAATACCACCAAAAGAAATGTGAAATTGTGAAAAAAATTATAAAAATTTCATATGGGTACAATATTGCATGACCGCGCAATTGTCATTCAAATTGCAACAGTGCTGAAAGCTGAAAATTGGCCTGGGCAGGAAGGGGGTATAAGTACCCGGTAGGCAAGTGGTTAAGAGAAAAACAAAATGTAGCTGTCGCCAACAATACTTTAGATAATCATACTTATCATCAGCATTGTGATCCAATATCCTGCTGCCAATAAAGAAATACCCTGGACCTGATTACCAAGAAATATGAATTGAAATGTAGTGAAGTGAACCTTTTTTCATGTCACACATTCAACCATGTGAGAATAAGCTCTATTTTTTTTTAAAATCCTTTGCACATGATGGGATGTTTGAGCTCAGGTTCATTTCACATCATCTCACTTCATACAATGTTAAATCCCTACTGTCTTCAGATTGTTTGCTTTTAACACAATGTGCTGGTTAAAAATGAAAGAACATAATTGCTGTGTTTCAGCGTAAAGTGCAGCTATCAAATTCTGTGATGAAGGTCATATTAGAAATCTAGTGTATTTTTAATTCATTGCTAGTTAAACCAATGGAACATGCCATGTAATTAAAATAGATTTACTTTTGCATTATAAAAAAGCGCCTTGTTCCATTTCCACTGCATTATCTTGATTTGTTTTAATGCTACAACACTTAATCACTAATACAAAAGGCAAGCTACCAGTTAATTGTATTACTTTATAGTCTAAAAACTTGGTAGAACATTAAATGCCATGTCATGAAAAAATTGCTTAGATTATTAAACTAATCCTTTAAAACAGTATGAAGTTAAATGGGGTTATTATAAGGAAGAAAATGCTTTCGGCAAAGTAACTTGGCACATATATTTTTTACCAAGGTCAGTAAAGGTAATAACACTAATAATACTAAATAACACTAAATGTTTCTAAAATAACATGAACTGCTGGAAAGGAAATACAAAACACAAATAAGATTAACTGTGTCATTTATAGAAAATAAAGTAACTTCTTCCAGAGTAAAAGGGCACAGCTCGGATTATGTTGCTAGCTCTTATTTACATCCAGAAACAATGACCAATCAGAGCATAATCAATACAAAATCAAGCTGGCATATCTCCCAGGTCCAACAAAGCGCTTTGGCAGAAAAAGAGAAATCCTGTTTACTGTACATCTCAGCGTAAATTTATTGGGAATGAATAGCACCCACTTCAGGATAATTGTTTGATCAAGGTGAACACAACTTTGTAATAACAATGATAGCAAAATATGATATAATAGTAAGAGAAAAAATGTGCGCTATCTATGATGGTATGGCCCCAAATCATTTAATAAGGAAGTTTAGTATGTTGACCCAAGGAGAGTTGAAGGTTCAGAAGCAACAGAATCCTATAGCAAACACATTGTAAGGACAACTTTCACAGGGATTTTACCCTTTCTCGCTCTACTAAATTTCATTTTATTTTTGTCTGTATTGCTGTGGAAGTTTTCCTTTAATTTCCTGTCTGATGAAACTGTGGCCACTGGGACAGAAAGTGAGAAAACAATTTCTCTAAGGGCTTGTTTGCACACACATATAAAAGCACCTACTGTTTTAACATGCATTTGTGATGTATTTTTGATGCTTTTGTGATGCTTTTTTGACACTTTAATGAAGCTTGGCAAACGCCATGTGTGTGTTGGTATTCTATTTTTTCCAATACATAAAATACAAAGCAAAGATAACCCTGAATCGACCTTCTACCACTGTAGGTGTGGTCAGGGAGTGCTGTTATAGAAATCTATGGAGGCTTTTTTTTGTTGAAGCACCAAGAAAGTAACATGGGGTATAGTTTCTGATGCAAAGCAACGTAAACTCCTTGCACACAACTGTGTTGTGGTCCATATTCACCATAGCATTGAGCTAACCTAAGTGGTACACATGTAAATGTTTGTTCAGTTGTTTACATGCATATCCCATAAACAGACATGCCCTGGTCTGCTGGCACTGCCTAGTGTGGCTCAGCAACACTTTCTTCA